CTTCCTTTTTCTTCAATGCTTCAGGAAACCAGGTTGCAAATTCCAAAAGCACTGGAATTACATTTAAAACAGTTAAAAATTGACAAAATCACCATCAGTCAAATGCAAAAAGCCGCACTGCTTGGATCTGCACGCATATTACGAAAATTCGTTACGAACGTCCTAGGCCCCTGGGTGGGGCCCGACTAGTAACCAATGCCAAATCCAGCGAAACAACTGGCCACTGTGATACAATTCTGTTGTTGTGAATAATAATAATAAACAGTTGCATTTAATTTAGTTGCTGCTTTCTTTATTTAAAGACTTCATCTCAGTGACTCTGAGCAACAATAGTATGGGTCCATACTACATCATACAACCATTCTAATAGGTTGATCCATTGATCTGTAACTCAGCTATTTGTCTGAAATTACTGATAGCGGTCCAGCTCCGAGGGCAGAGTCTAATTGACTGGGCCAATCTTCAAAGAAGTAAATGGGGTAGATGTGCTTATTATTTCAAGACTAGTAAGTCAAGAAAAGAGCCTAGAAGAAAATAGTGGCAAAACCACTGCTGCACTGTTGCTACGAAGATATTTTGCTGGTTTGTCACATTTCTAGGCCAACTGACTCAAAATTCTTTGCGTACATGAAGTCACACCAGGAGTCAGGTTGACCTGAAACCTTCTACTTTGCTAATAATCTTAGTTCCCCAGGGAGACCAAAAGCAAATGGCCAGGAATGATCTTGCTCCAAGGCAGTATTATGTTTGGGTAGGAAAGCTATGTCTGAAATTAAATAAAATATACCATCATCACACACATACAAACACAAACACACACAAAATATAAAGAAAAAGGTGCCATCTGCAGATGAGAATGAACATTACACTGGATGTTTTTAAATGAGATTGTTCACGATGTTCCATATGAAGAGGAGTACTTTATATTTTCTCCTACCAACATGACTCAGTTCTAGAAGCTGTTCCAATTCTCAGAAGCTGTTTTTAATGTGATGTGAAGGGTTGTAGGAATGAGAAGAAGCCGACAGATATATGACCCATGCAAAGGAATATCTTAAGGCTTTTGGGGGTGCCAGTCATGGAATCTGAGTTTAAACTGTTCAGTGGAGGCGGGGAATATATAGAGCAGGAAAAATTAATCATCTGGAAAAGGAATAAAATGGGATTTATTTTTTCCAAGAAGAGACTTCTACTAAATGCAGGTGCCAATTCTGACAGAAAATAAACCAGAAATGACTTTTGAGTAACATAGCAGCCTGAAACAGCAGAAGAATTCAGCATCGCCTGCATAATGGGAGCCAATGAAATCATAGACATTGGGTTTAAATGTTTGGTTTTAAGGAGTAATAAGATTTCATGTAATAATTTGGGCTTGGTTTTATGGCCACGTTGTGTGTGAAAAGTGAATGTTTAGATAGTAGCACACAAACATACAACTCAGATTCTAACTGCAAACCTTTCCCATGATTGTTAAAATACATTTTGAACAACCAACAAAAATCACCATGAAAAGCTGAATTTCATGCACAAGTCAGTTTCCACACAGAATTTTGTATATTGGATAAAATTATACAATAGTGCTAAAAATAATGAAAGATAACATTATGGCCACTATTATTTTCAGCTATTCAATCTAAAATAAGAACACTTCTCAACTCCAGAGTATAAGAGAATAAAGGAAATTACTCTTTTTCCCCTAGTCAGCACTGTGTGATTGACATAGCTTATTAATACATGCACTTAGAGAGAAAGGGATGAGATCTGCTTCTTTTCCTAAGCACCAGATATTGATCATTGCCAGAGGCAGGATGCTAAACCAGATGGACCACTAGGCTTCTTCATTCTGTCAGATCTTATATCACAGCATCACTCTTCAAAAGAAAAAGAAAAGAAACAAGATCACAGCTTCACAACAACGACAGAATGGACAAACATTTTCATAGCATTTCTCCCCCTCACATATTCATGATATACATGTTAGATATAATCCAATATATTCCACCTTAGATAAGACTCAAAGGACAGAGAATTAAAGAGCTTCAATTCTTCAGTGCAATGAATGGGAACCAGCATATAATGGAGCTCTGAAACAGCCAACAAGAAAAGGGGAATGATGAACAATTCTCATTAATACCGTCAGCCAGGCACAGGCTGGATAACTAAAAGCAAACTAAGCAATTAAATAAATTAGATCCTGTAATTATAGAACCAACACCCTATAGTCAGAGATACCATATCAAAGAATGAAATATTTTTCATATATGCATTAACGGCTACAGCAACATCTGGATGCTGTACTTCAAAAAGCCTAATAATCAACCTCCAGAAAAAGAAAAGCATTTAGATACCCCTATGTTTGCAACTTTCTTCCCAGGGCATCAACAACAGCTTCTGATTTTGTACGATCAAGTCACGAGTAGATTTGGGACCCCCTGCATTTGCAACAATTTCCTTTTGCCAATGGAAAACTGAAGTATCTTTAAATATCTTTCCATGGACAACCAAGCAATCACCCATGAATGTGAAAAGAAAGGAATGAGACATTTAAAGCCAATCTTCTTCATAGGAGCTGGGAATTTAGTTTCCAATCCCAATTGTAGCATGAATAGGATTTCTGAGAGTTGTGTTTTCAAAAAAAATCCAATACAGGTCAAAAGGACATAATAGGGTTAATGTTAGAGAAGTGTTTCCTTTAAAAGCCACCACTAAACAGATAATCCTCAATTTACAATCATTTGTTTAGTGACTGTTCCAACTTACAACTGAAAAAAGGGACTTGTGACCATTCTCACACTTATGATACTTGCAGCATCCTTGTGGCCAGTGATCAAAATTCAGATGCTTGGCAACTGGCATATATTTATGAAGGTTCCAATATCCCAGGGTCATGTGATCATCTTTTGCAATCTTCTGACAAGCAAAGTCACCTGGGAAGCCAGATTTACATAACAACTGTATTACTTAACAACTGCAGTGATTCACTTAACAACTGTGTCAAGATAGGGGCAAAACTGACTTAACAACTACCTTGCTTAGCAATGGACATTTTGGGCTTAATTGTGGTTGCAAATGAAGAATTATCTGTAATCATAGTTATGTAATAGTTCCCCAGTCTAATACTTACAATGCAGGTAACAACTGCAGGAGTGACTTAAAGCATGAGATTTTGATTAATTAAAAATAAACTTTTCAAATAACAAGGGAAAAAGCACAAAAACAAAGCAACTAAAATGTTAATTATTGTTCACTAGCATTCATTATCATGTTCGGGATATTAGATTGTGAAAAAAATTATTTGAGAACAATGACTTCCTTTCTCTGTTATAATAGGCACAAGCTTGCTCACAGACTTTGTGGTGAACCCTTACTCTCCTCACATGAAAGCAACCTTTCGTATAGCAGCTGATTAAGGATTGTGAAATCTGAGCCTTGAAGAAAAGAAAAATCCCAAATATAAAAGCTGAGGTCCTCCTAAGATACAGATCATTATGACAAAAGAGCATTATTAAGCTGTCAAAATTCTCTTTGACTTTAAATTAAGCAAAAATTAAATCTACTGCCTCTTTTCCTCTCTTGCACACATCCAAATGTACATGGTCACCCTTATGCCATTTGAAAAAGAAAAGTCTTTACATGCAAGTAAATCTGCAAAGCTTTGTCAGCATCA